GATCCTCCAAACCCAGGCGGAATCGCGCAACGCCTAGCCGCAGCTAACAACGAGATTCTCAACAAGAGAGCTCATCTCGTCCTATTCCAGTAACAAGTTGGAGCATGCCATGAGAATTTATCTAAGCAAAAAACCAGTGTGATTTCTGACATAGTTGCTAGCTCTATGGCGGTTTCTATTGAGAATTTAGGCCGATTTCTGATCGTTATTGGATACCGTTGCAGATATCATTGTACAGTACAAGTGGCATGTCGCCGACTGAACTAGTCGCGCAACCGAGAATTCACAAGCCAACACCTCGGCGGAATTCCAGGACAAACGATAGACTCTCATGTCTCCGAGAATCGTTGTGGCTCGGAATTTGCACACCCACGCTATCCATGCAAGCCGACTGCAACACAGACAACAAACGAGGCGAGTCGAGGTTGCAATTGACCCGAGAGCAGGCGCGGTACAAAGCAGACAAGGCGAGATGTTTGGATTTTGCAGCGTTATGAGCCCGCCCTGAAACGGGACCACGTCGAGAGTCGAGACCTCGCCAAGAATGAAAAACGATGTCGGAACTTCGCTGCGCGCTGCCGCTCTCGGTGACATTAGCTTTTTTTCGCTGCCAACGGAGAGCGCTCTGCTGGGTTTGGATTCGTCCCTTTCAGCCAGTTTTGCTAACGTTCTACTTGCGGCGAAAAATTGGCTGTTTTTCGTGATTTGATACTCACAATCCGGACCGAATGCGCTTCAACCTTGCTCTGCTTTGTGCCCTCGCCGCTTCTGTCTGCAGGATGCACATCGCCATCTTGCTCAAATTGTTCGCGGGACTCGACAGTGTCGAGTTGCCCTTCCCGCGATTCCTGTCTGGGCCAAGGTTGGCCGTCAACTTTGGTCATCAACTGCTGGCCCTCAGCTTGATCACCGCTTTTGTCTGGCAGTACCATGATCCTCGTTCTGACCGCAGCGTCTGGCTCAGAATCAAAGTCTGCGCGCGTTTACGCTGAAGCGGAAACGAACGGCCAATGCACGATACGGTCTCACAACGGCACGTCTAACGCGACCCGCACATTGCTGTACACCATTTGGTCACCGATGTAGTCTATAGCGCTCCTATATCCGATAAAATCCGCACGTTTGGTAAGCTGGAACTTGGACGAGCGCTGCCACCTGTCGCCTCGGTCATTTACTGCCCTCATCGTCCAACGAACGCACCAAGAGTTAAGGCTGACGCATGCAACCGTGCGCGAACTGCTGAATCAGCAGAGCTAATTTGAGCTTCACCTATGATGGCGAACACAAATTTGCACAATAAAAGCCGGACCTGTGACGAATCCTTCTTGGGGCTTACCACGACCGACGCATTCAATAGTCTCGCAGCGATGTTCAGAACCGCTCCGCACATCGCACGACCGAAGTATGAAAACCCTGATCTATAGAGAGCGTGGAGTCCAATGTCCCAATTCAAAAACAGTCGAGCCCAATTTGGACAGACTCCGTCAGCCGAGCCTTGGATCTTACAAATTGAATGTTACAATGCACATGTACATGTAGCTTGAAGAGTGGAAAGTTCCCACGCTGAGTTGCGTGGTTGAACCCACTGGGAACCACACAACGCGGTTTCTTGTCTCCCAGGAAGACGATTCAATGCCCAATGCGAGTTTGAGTCAAATCTTGGCGTTGACAAAGCTGGCAGCAACACTGAGCTAAGCAACCGCAGCAACAACGACTACGCACCGTTTATTTATGCATGCAACTTAAGCGACCACTTCATCTGTGGCTACCAGAGCGATAAACTGAGCCCAAGCAATAAAAAAAGCAGGTCCATGAACTTCATGAGGAAGGTCACGAAGCTCAACCTTCATTGAACTTTCGGGGACAACAATGCAGCGAAAGAGCCTCGTCTTCCAGAACAACAAACGATGTGCTGCGCTATGGACAGGCCTCTCTAATCGAGGGAATTTGGGAAATTCCCTCCATTAGCTTATTAATAGAGGTATGACACGGCATATTAAAAAAGGGATTTGCGAGCAGTTATCTTCCGTATACTGAAACCTATATAAACGTAATCAATTGTATGCAACTTATTACGGATTGGCCTGGTATGGCATCATCCTTCAGGCGATGTGGCCATGTTGGCTGGTTGTCGGTTTTGGTTTTTGATGGTTTTACAAAAACCATGGTTTAACCTGGTTTTAAAACCAGTGCAACCAAAAACCTGGTTTTTCATATTGGTGGCTCAAATCCAAGTTTTGATCAAGTGTCAAAACGCGCATATATTTAAAAATATGGGGTGCACAAAACTGTAATTTTACCACTAGATGTACATAAAACCAAAGAACCAGGTCGTTGCAACCAAATAACCTGGGCGTTGGTTGTTCTGGTTTTTGCAACCACTGGTTTTACCAACACTGCCACCAGGGCAAGGATACAAAATATATACAAATTGTGCGCACCGCTCCAAAAGCACGTTAAATCATGTCTAGACTGTAGCTCGAGTAAAAGCTTACCACAACTGCAAGGTTATTCGCCAGGAAACGTGCTGGCTGAACGACCTTTTCAAGTGGTGTCTATGGACTTTGTAATCCCTGCCATCAAACTTCGAAATGGTCGTATGTGGCCACGACTGCAGTGTGCAAATCTATTGCGGACTAGAGCGTGTGGTTCCCAAAGTCTCGACGAGGAAATATGACATTGCTTCGTCTGCAGTGCAAACCATATAACATTGTTGTGCTTCAAATAACTAAAGTGTACATTTGACAACGAGTGTTACTGTTGTCGTGTTAGGAAATCACGATTGTAATATTACTCCGTTCCCTCACTTCCAACAATTGTCAACTCCGTAGAATCAACTAGAACGGGCTCCAAAATATAACTCGATAGCCCCTAGTTCGACCTCCAGGTCACCGTTGACTCTGACCTGATTGCGGTTTGTGGATATAGATCAACCAATAGTTTAACGTCCTTGGCCACGAGCAGACCAATACGCCCTATCACACACTCTCTTGATCTCTGCCAGTCCCTCAGAATGGAAGGGTACGTCGACTTTCCAGCCAGTAGCAGAGTTGTCGGTCTCTTGGTCCGACGGTAAGAATCACTGGAATTACACATCCAGTCTTCGACGATAAGTTGATCGTCAGCTAATACTCAGTCAACCCACACACTACGTCTCTTGGATTGACCACGGGCAAACAGGAGTCTGTCGTGTTGGGAACGACAGACATGCACGCTACTCAAAGCGGCCTGGCACTTTGGACTTACGCAAAGTCGGATAGCAACTTCACGTAGTAAATTCTGTTCTGTTCTTCGCCCTGTGGGCGTTAATTCTCATCCTAATTCATACTATGAAGGTTTACAAATACTAAGTATAAATGTGACCTAGCTACGAGATCTTATAACGGACGGCGACCACTCCGCCAACGGTCAGACGACTACTCGTCTTAAGTACGGATCTTGGCCAGGAGTTACATGTGTCACACCTTGACGTCAGTAGACGTTGGCCTCGTCACTATTTGATATCCAGTAAAGTCCGAGTGATGTGGCATACACATGGACGACGGGGACTTAGCGGTAGCAGCCAAGTCTTCTTCGGGTCGCCACTCACAACGAGAAAAGTCGAATCCCGACATCACAACTGTCTCCGCCACAATACGTGCCGCTCTGGTGAGTGTTGAGGCGCCACGATGTCTAGTCTTCTCGACCAGGCCACTCTCACAGCTCAACGCGCTCTGAACCAGTCGTCGTCTCAACCTGCATCGGAAAGTGTTCGTCATCCAAATCGTATCTTGGCATTGAGTCTAATTGCATGATGCGTGTCACGACAGCCTTCGCTACAGACTTCTCCCGTTTCACCACCACTCACTGAGCTTCTTCGTCCTCTGCATTTCCTGCCATGCCGGCTTCGAGTGCTGCATCCACTGCTTCTCGTATTGCGAGTCTTCGGCAACTGCCGCATCACCTCCTTTCACTCAGGTACGCCTTGTTTCCTCCTACTATTTGCCATTTCACCTTTTTCACGCTCAAGTCTTCTGAATACATGTCTTCACAGGATGCCTCGACTTCCCAACTGTGCGGCGCTCTTCATATTCCAGTTCCTGCTGGAGAACAACCCACGCCGACTACTGCTCACTCTGTTTCGCCATTGCCGTCATGGGAAGAGCGCTTGGCTGCACTCCTGGAGAAAAACTCGATTGACACAATGAGCCGTGTCTGTCGCGTCCATGACAACAAATTCATGGATCTGTGTCGATTCATCGGCGAGCTGCATTGGGGTCCTGAAGTACGAGGTCAGTCTGAGTTCGCCCAGCGTGTGCGTGAGGCAACCTCGCTCCAGTAAATGCTGACAGTGACTGCTCGTCCCGCCATAGTGGTACAAGACTCCCTGACTCGAAAACTAGCTGATGCTCGCGCGGAGCTCAGTTCCTGCGACGAAGAGCGGAGGTGCATTGCCAACAAACTCGTCGAAGTGCAGCGGAGTCGTGAGGCTACGGAGCACCTGCTACGGGAGGCTACTGCTGGGCTCCCTTAAGTCCGCTCCATTCACCAACTCAGCACTGGTAGCGGCCGATCGCCTTCCGACGAAACCCGGCACCACACTGATAATATCCTATATTACGTGGGAACAAGCCGGCGTAAACTGGACGAAGCCCAAACCGAGCTGTCGTTGTGACTAGCCGTACACGCAACCATGATCCAGGAGTTTCTCCAAAATTGTCACGACTCTATCGAAGGCGGACACCAAGGAGTATTTCGGTCACACCAGAGAGTAAAACTGAACTATTACTGGACTGGACTCTACGCAGATGTAACGAAACATGTTCAAGTCATGTCTAGACTGTAGCTCGAGTAAGAGCCTACCACAACTTAAAGGATATTCGCCAGGAAACATGCTTGCTGAACGACCTTTTCAAGTGGTATCTATGAACTTTGTAATCCAATTACCGAAGTCTCGACGAGGAAATACGGCAGTACTCCTTTGACAATGTGCATTTACTGGGTTTGTTATTGCAAAAGCAATGTCAGATACAGACTCGCTAACAGTGGCGAAAGTATTTGAAGAATGCATTTATCGACGATTTGGCGCACCATCTTTAATACGACATGGCCGTGAGCCACGGTTCATGAGTGAGATGTTTCAAGCGTTCGCAGAACTGATACAAGCACAATCTCGATCTACACTGAGTTATCGTCCACAAGGTGATGGTCAACAGGAGTGGTCGGTGAAGACAGTGATGCAATCAGTAAAATTCTATGTGGAGGATCCACTACAACAAGACTGGGATGAAATTGCCGAGCGACTAGTATTCGCGATCAACAACTCACACGATATGACCCGGAAGGAGACACCATTTTACCTTGTACACGGTTGGGACGCTCGTGCAACGCTACGAGCAATGACTACGTCGTTGAACAGAGGAATCGAGAAACACACTGAGACATTGGCTTTGCGACGAGAGATCAATATCCAACAGCAAATTGCTCTGGAAAATTGCAAAAGGAATACCAGGCAAAGGGAAAGCCAAGACGTACACAAATCCATAACGACCGGCTTAGTCGAAAAGAGCAAGCAGCGATTTCTGGAGACCCGAACGAACACTCACCAGGCGATCACTCAACAACACAATCGCTGTTCCAACCAGGAAGCAGAGTGTGGCTTATATGGAACGCGTGAAATCTGGGTTGGTGGATAAGCTAGTACACCGATGGCACGGCCCCTTCAGAGTAAAAAAAGAAAGTGGAAGAATTCGCATATGAGTTGGAATTGCCAGACAAACGTGGCTACAGATTTTACCCACTATCACGAGTTAAGGCGGTGAATGAGTACTGCAACCGGCCTAAGACTCGTTTTGCCCAACATTTCACTGAAAGTTCGCGCTTTGACTTCGACGAGGAATTATTGCCAGAGGATAGCAGGGAACCCGACCACCTTTCAGGAGAATTTGAAGTCGAAGCAATCTTAATTGACCGAACACCCATGTCCACTAGCACAGACTGACCAGTATGATAATTCAAAGTCAAGTGGATTGGATATGATGAGACGACGTGGGAACCAGCATCAAACTTGTCATGCGGTGGATTGCTCTACGACTACGTGCGAAAGAAGTAAAGTGAACACCGGCTGCAAATGGTACATGTTGCAGACGAAAACTAACCAATTTACGGCGAATGATCTGAATGTGAGGCTGAGCAGCTCACATTTGCAGAGGAAAATTACTACTGCTATCCAAAATATTCATGATTGTATATTGTATGGAATTCAAGAACAAAAGTGATTGAACTTTAAGAAAAGATAAATGTGCCCAAACTACACTGCACTATGGCATCAAACGAATGTATAAGTGGAAGCTTGGACTTGTACAATCACTTGAGATTCGGGTCGGCATAGAGGCTCGCAAGGCCGGCAGCGCTTACTCGCCGTGTTGCGGCCTGCAAAAAGGGACCGGATCCAGGCCCAACGCGAGGTCCCCATCGTGTCCGTGGTCCCACCTCGACGAGTTCAGTAGCTGGTGGACACTTAGTCTCACTGGTGTCATTTGTCTCGTGCGTGCTCGAGAGTCGTGGGCCCCAGCGCGTGTAGGCTCGCCGGCGCGGGGAATGCTGCACCTGGGCCGGAGGCCTGGAGGAGGATGCTTCCGTGGGACTCGAGCCCCAACGTGTCCACAGCCGGTTCCGTGGTGGTGGGGTGCACACGTCCCCTCTTTGGGCGATGCGGCCGACGGTGGCAACATAGCGAGCAGTGCCGACGGCAGGGAGACGGCAGCGCTGCTTGGATCAGGCCTCCGGCCGACTCAAATTGTGAAAGCGATCAAGGTGTGCATCTACTCCAAGCTGGAGTATGCGTTCCGGCACGTACGCGTGAACCGTGCTGCACTGGTGGAATGGGAAGCGTGGATGCACCGCGGCCCACGACACCTACTGCGGCTACCTTAAGCTACATCAACTGCATTCTTCTACGCACCCACCTCGCACGGTTGACTTGGCCTGCTGCCTCTTGTGGACATGCTCGCGATGATCCAGGTCGGCCACGTCAGGCAAATGCGGCACGCCCTGGACCCGCTGTAGCCGCCACTGCCCGAGCGCAGATACAAAAAATCGCGCACCACCGCTACCGACGGGACCCCGATCATTGGGGGGCCGAGACCAGGAGCTGGTGGTGGAGTTCCTGCAAAACACGTTCGCACGCCATCCGCCGCCGCCAATCGCACGGCATCACCTCGCTGTGGACGGAGGTGCAAGGACATGTCAAACGCTACGGACTCACGTTCGGCGTAGCCTCTACAGACATCCCCGACCAGCAGCAACCCATGGAGGCTGACGAGGAGACTCCGCCACCGCCCCGGACACCGACGTTGACGACGCCCACCCACCCAGAGCCACTCGAGCGCAAGACCGTAATGGCGCAGCTGAAGCTGCACGCCAAGCGCCGCCACGCCGAGAAGTGGCGCAGCCAAGACGATCAAGGGCGCACGGTGACCGCACACGGAGGCGCAGGCAGCGCCTTCCTCACGAGACCCGGCAGCCTCACGGACCGCGACTACCGCTTCGCGGTGGCAGCGCGGTTGAACCAGCTGCCCACCCGGGCCGTCCTGAAGCGCCGGCGCTGAGACAACGTGACGCGGTGCCGACAGCAAGGCTGTCCCCAGCAGACAGAGACCATGGCCCACATTCTAAACCATTGTGACGCGAACAACGCCAGCATCAGAGCGCTTCACGACCGCGTGCTGGACGGCATCGCTGAGCAGCTGCGCGTGGTGAAGCGCACGGGCAGAGTGGAGCTGCGCATCAACCAGACGGTGGTCCAGGCGCCCACCTCCACACTCCGCCCCGACATTCAGCTGGTCGACCACGACCACAAGCGAGTGGTGCTGGCTGACCTCGTGGTCGCCTTCGACGCGGACACGGCAGGCCACCGCGCCACCGGACTCGACGCAGCCCACGCCGACAAACTGGTGAAGTATGCGCCGCTGTGCGCGAGTTCCAACACCGTGGTTGGGGCACGACGGTGACGGCGGTCACCTACGGGGCGCTTGGCTCCGTCCACAAGTCCAACTACAAGACATACACCGAGACGCTGGGCGTCTCCAAGCGAGCAGCCAAG